GTACAGTACATAGAGAAAATAAAATCCGTCAGCATAACGACTCTATGAGTAGTGTAGTCACTTAATCATAGAGTCGGTCCTACATACAATAGTACATGAAAAGAGAGAGTGTCCTATCGATAGGGGTGGTGATACTCAGATGTCGAAGTGACGCACCAGAAGCTCGGGCCAACTCACGCATCTCACGAGTGATCTCATCCTCCTTCTGCTCTGCTCGAACTGCCCTAGCTTTAGCCGCAAAGAGTCATTGCTTCAGGTTGGCTACTTCTTCCTCTAGAGAGCGTATACGGCCAGTAGTGCTCCCATGCACTGTGTGTTGGTCTGGTATGATTCCCTAAGGGTAGAGTTCACTAGGGGTTTCCTTAATGTCTTCACCTTTATCTGCCTCCTCGTCAGATTCGCTAATCTCATAGTCCAGTTCCATATACTCTTCGGGTCTCGCTTCTGGATTTTCTTCTTGAACCATTTTTGGTTCTCCTTCAATCCATCCATTGGCCACTAAGGTTTGGTAGTAAAGGTCGCCTTGTGGGATTTCATCCATGGTGCCTATGCGAACATGGAGGCGTGAGAAGCGTGTAGAAAATGTACGTGCGACGGTTTTATGTTACCCCAAAATGCTCCTATAGTATTTTAATTGTTTATATTTGGGTTCCTTAAAACTTTTTGGATACGAGGTTGGTAAGTTTCTAGATTCATTGTCCACCACGATCACTCCCAAGCACATGTTGGTCGCATTTTGAATAAATATAGTTGATCAGACTATATTTACCCCCAATATGATTACATAACTGCCTGAGTTTAACCGCGATGTTCAATTCCTCCAAAGACCTTTTCGTCTTATTGTAATAATGCATACATAGGTATGTATTTTTTTGTTTAGAGTATCTTAGTCCCAATGTATTTCTAGTTGCATATCTTGTATGATTAGATATGCCAGTTCACTATAAACATTGCTCTAATACCAATCTGTCACACCCCCGAACCAGACGGCGGAAATGCCCGGGGGCGGGTGACTTCATCTTGTAATATCATCACAGTGTATATAATTGAATCAAGGATAACATCATCATAACACATGAAATATAACAACCATCATAGTTTACATCAGTGTGTTGGTTTACAAATTACATTCCAAATGTCAAATGTATGATGATAACAAAAATACACAAAAATCCACGTGTTCTTGATGACCAACCTGCTTAACGATTCCATGAGAATACAAGTTATTTGAAAAAAAAAAAACGTCAACATATATAATGTTGGTGAGTTCATAAGTATGTTGTATGAAAGGTTTTGTATCATTTGTAAACTCTAGAAAATCCGATATTTTACGTAAAATTTGTTCGAGAGTTTTGTTTCAAATATTGTATTAAAGCATGTGTGTTCATGTTTTTGAAAATGTATAAAGAGAGAGTTCTAGAAAATCCTATATTTTCTGTAGTAAGTAAATGGTTGTGTATTATTTCCCAGAAAATCTGATATCTTCTGCTTGTAAAAGAGTTGTAGTCTTAAGACCATAAGACCCGAGTGTTGTAAAAATGAATAGTTCGTACATGTATCAATAGTATAGTATATGTATTCCATAAACTTATTATGTTTGTTAATCTCTATGTGAGTCGTTATAACCATGCTTGATGTGACTGATATGCCTGTCGTGAAGTTTTTCAGGCGTCGCTTGTTTAAGGTAAGATATTTGTCACCCTAGACTGGCCTAGTCTAGCTGTAGCGAACAGCTCAGGTGTGGGGCGGTCAACCCTGTATAGATTTATACACAAACTCTCGCTCTCCCTCCAAGAGACTATGATTATAACTACAGGACTTAAGGTTGTACACTAGGTAGATACGGATGAAGGTGTGTCTCACAAGAACCTTAACTAAGTTTATGCGAACAGTATATCACATTATTTACCGCTTTAAAATAATGTTTTGAAACATTGGGGATAAAAATACCATTTGTTTTTAGCAAAGTGTCAAGTATTGTTTGTTATTAGCCCGATTAACATAAAATGTGTCGTGGGGCCCAATAAGAAAATTAATGGGCCTATAAGGCCCAATAAACATGAAATGAGTATAACAAGCCCAATAAGCATGTTATGGGTGTGACAAGCCCAGCTCGAGTAAAAATGTCGTAAAGAGCCCATTTATTATGAAAATGACCGTTTTAGTCCGATTTGTGCTAAAAATGACATAAACGGCCCACTTTTCTTAGAAATGACCTTTTTGGCCCAATAAATCGAAATTTTTCAATAATGGCCCACTTTTGTCAAAATTTAATAAATTGGCCCACTAAAGCCAAAGATTTACAATAAAGGCCCATTTTCATTTCAAATGACATTTTAGGCCCAATAAAAACCGAAAGTTTGTAAATAAGGCCCATTTTGATAAAAATGACATTTTAAGTCCATTAAGGCCAACAATTTACATTTTAAGCCCATGAAATCGTGAATTTCCAAATAAGGCCCCTTTTTATGAAAAATGACCATTTTAGCCCATTAAAACCGTGAAGGCCCAAAAGAAGCCCATTTTGTCCAAAATAACACTTTTGATCCCTACAAAACCGTGAATGTCATAGAAACCCATTTTTTTAATCCAAAATGACTCTTTTGGTCCTCTCAAAACCGTAAGTTATCATAAAAGGCTCACTTTTTGTTTGTTTGTCAAAAATGGCCCTTTTTGCATTAATTCTTTGTTTTTCTAGTAACTTTTGCATGTTAAGACTTTTCAACATTATGTAGGGTCACTTCAAATATCTTAGTTTACTAACATCAATATGATTTGGTAGGTATTTCGAGTTTTATGAAAGTTTAACAAGCTTTCATGACATATTCACACCATATAACATGAAAATACACACATACATGCACAAATACTTAGATCTGACACAAAACCAACTTGTATTCTCCCCCAAAACATAGTAAAACCGAAAACAAGGGGGTATGAAGCTCACCTTAGGTGATGGATCGGTTTTGATGAAGAAGTGAAAGAGAATGAAGGTGATTTCGGTCCTAGTTTGCTTCTTGAAGAGAGTTTTCGGATCTATGGAGTTCTAGGAGCTTGAACACAAAATGAAGTGTTTATGAGTGGAAATATTAGCATAAAGATGAAGTTTAACATCTTGACTATGAAGTAACTTACCAAGAATGTGAAGCTTGAAGTGATCTTCTTGAGCCAACCCACACACACAGAGTTTTAGAAGAGGAAGAGGGGAAAGATTGCTTTGTGTTATTGAGAGAGATATGAGAGGATTTTAGTGAGTTTGAAGTGGAAAAATGAGGGTGATGGTGGGTGCTCTCGGTCGAGATTAAGAAGAGAGAAGAGAGAGGAGAGCTTGCATAGAAGTATGAGATTTTCTAGATGTATGGGAGGTTAATTGCATAGATATCCTCCATGCAATAAGGAGGTGTCACTAATTTCAAATTAATTCAATTTTTTTTATTAAAACCGAGAATGAGGTGAGGGAAGGAAAGAAATTTGGATGTTGGGCTCATATTTGATTATCAACCGAATTTGTGTAGCCCAAAAATAAATTTTTCGGCCCATTGGGCCCTCATACTCGTTTTTGGCCCAAATGAGTAAAAGGAATGGGTTTTCGGCCCATGAAAAACAATTGAATGGTTTTCGGCCCAATATAGACACGTATTGTTGATTATCGCGTTGGGCTGTACTGGGTGAACGTCCGGATGGCGCCAACTATTGTGATATGTCTCCGGCTTAACTCTGTCTCTTTGAAGGATGGAATGAAGGGCCTGAGAATCACAGCAAAGGAAACGAGATCGCCAGTCGTCGTCCCGGTAGGCTGTCCCGGAACGATGATCCGACGATCAAGTCAGTTAATCTCTTAGAGAGAAAGTGAAAAAGTGTAAGGTAAGAGTTTAAGGGTTTATTTCTCGATCCCTTCTCTTGGAGGAGAAGATACCTTTTTATACCTATTGTCGGGGGAGCCGATCCCCGACAACATCTTTTACCTTTTCAGGTTTGGTAGGGATAGACGACCTTCGATTGGTAGATTGTGCTCCGCGCGTAGTCGTTTGCTATTGGTGCAAGTTTGCCAGGAGCAACGTTCTGAGCGCTACACCTGTCGCTCTGAGAGACGATTGATACTATTTTGTCTTGACACTGGCTTTGGCGCTTGAGCGCCAAGGAATGAATATGGGATCACGAGATCGAGGACTCGATGTTAGGCATACACCGCTCTTTGCCCAAACCGTCTATTAGACTGACGGTTCCGCTATATCTGACGTAATCCTGGTGGGATATGTTAACATATCTACTCTAATAAATGAAAATCTTTTTGCCACATGTAACACTCTCATGGATTTGGCCACATGTCGTTTTGTGGTTATTTTCAATTAAATTTTTTCTACATGACATTTTGTGGTTTTTTCCATTATATTAAATTCCACATAATATTTAAACATAATAATTGTAATAAATGTAATAATAAATGCATATCAATTTCAATAATTGACTTTTTTTTTTAATTTCAACATTTTTAAATTAAAATTTCATTAGTTTCATTTATTTATTTATCTAAGTTATTTGTTTAAATTTAAAAGAGAAAAAAACAATTGATTTTAGTAATTTAATATTTTTTCTAATTTTCTTATAAATTCAAACATTTTCAAATGTTTACAATTTATATATATATATATATATATATATATATATATATATATATATATATATATATATATATATATATAAACTCATGTAATATATGAGTATTATACCTATTAATAATAATTAAGTTTATTATTGGCAGAATTTTGTATATACCCCTGCTAAACATCTAAATATCGTATTTGCCCGACCTAAACTTTAAATATCGTATTTGCCCTCCTTAAATATTTTTAATATCTTATTTACCCAAATCTATTTTTCTGATAACTTTTATTGATTTATAATTATTTTTCATAATTTTAAATGATTATAATTAAAGGAACTTAATAAATAGACAATAATACCCCTAGTCTAATTTCCAGTACATATCAATCGCGTTGATGATTGCAGGCTCCATATGGCATCGCAGCTTCAGCTTCTTCCCGTATCTCAGATCAAGCGCCAACCAGCAATTCGTATTGGAAGCTACATACTACATCTATGATTCAGAATTCAGGTATTCATCAAACGCACTAAACATTCAATCAGGTAGAATGCGAATTCCTTTTTTAGGGTTCCTAGTTTCAATTGTTTAATTCCTTTATAGTTGCGATTGACTAGAATAAACATGAATATAGTTTCAATTGTTCAACTTCTTTCATGTCTATCTCGCGTATACTATCCTTAAGTTTAATCAATTGTTTATTTCTTTATGATTTTGTTCAAATCTGTACATGCTTGAAATCGAAACAAGCAGATTGGCCTTCAGAGTCTTGCTCAACGAGCTGCAAAACGGTTTAATTGACAAACAGAGCTAACAAATAACCTACTGATTGTATCCGATTACACATCTGTTGATCACGCATTCTCAGGTTTTAAGTTATTCATCCGTTGTAATCATGAATTGAATGTTCAATTCACAAATAAAGCCAGAAAATTAACCTGATAATCATGCCTATTGCAACATGGAAGAGGCGAGAAGGCTGAAAAGAAGGTCGACTTTGTGCGTTTTTTGATCGACGAGATCTTCTGCGATCGCAGAAGCCATCAGGTAAGGGGTTTATGCGATAGAGAGTAAGGGTATTCTTGTCCATTTAGTTATTTTTTTCAATCTTAATGATTTTAAATTGTAAAAAATGATTATTAAATAGTAAAATCTATTTAAAAATTAGATTTGGGTAAATATGATATTTTAAAATATTAAGAAGGGCAAATATGATATTTAAAGTTTAGGTCGGACAAATACGATATTTAAATGTTTAGCAGGGGTATATACGAAATTCTACATTTATTATTAGCAACTAATCCACATATAATTCTCAATATTATTTATGGTTTCGTTGGTGATATTCAAGAATTGGAATAATCATATGGACGAAGCATTCTACCCATCTTTTCGCATACGATTGAGAAAAAAAAAACGGTGTATGTGAATTACACCAAAACGCCCCATAATTTTGATTCATGATATTCTTTGAGCCTGGATGTATGGTTTTCCAAATTTTTCAGTGAGTGGCATTTTTTCCTCTTCTCACGTTACTCTCTATTTTTCATTAATTTTTCCATATACAAATCGACACAAGAAAAGAAAAAAAAAACAATTCTTTTTAGTGCTATGAGAAAAAAAAATCAAATGTTTTTAAAAATGTTTCGTTCATCTCCTATGTAATACATAATTTTTTTTTTATTTTATTTTATCATGGCATAATATTGTATTTTGATACAACATTAAATCATTAATTACCGCATAATACCTCTACTAATATGTCTTTATTAAAAGTTAATTATAAGCTACACTACAGTTTAAATAAAAACCCATGTTTTCCTAATTGTACTTATTAAATAAATACGTCGATATTATGTCAACAATCCAAGAAGAGGCACAAATTGTTAGTAACACAAAAATAAAAATGCGATGTTGTGAAAGATAAAAACGCATTATTAAAACATAAACAATTATTAAACATGTTAGTATACAAGGTACAACGATTAGTGCATAAAGTACACCCCCTAAAAAACCCTAACATTCCTCAATTTCTCAACCCCTTGATGAACAACGCTAACAATTTGGAGGGAGAAACGAAAATATTTCAGAGCCAAAATCTTCTCTAAAAATTTCATGTTTCTTCTTCCCGCTGCCCATATCATCTCTAGATCCAACCCTCCTTCATTTCCATCTCCAGAATTCTCGGTAGCTCGCTCAAGCCTCACTCAGTAAGTTCTGCTTTCTCATATTTCATTGTTTTGGTCTCCTGCTTCAATGTCAATGTATATTTTTTGTGTGTGAAGACTGTTTGTAATTGTATGTACTTGTACAATGGTTTTAATTTTGATATTTTTCTTTTGTTTTTCGATATATCGTTTCCTAATTTCATCTTCTGTATTCGAAAATACCCGATTTTGCTGTTTACTCCGTTTTAGGGTTTTTGGCACTCTTTACATTTATGTGTGAAATTGTTCCGCACATGACGGTTTAGAAGTTATTCTGAACTCGTAAAGGTTAGCGATGGGGTTTTATGGAACCAGGTGTTTGGTTTTGATTACTTTAAATTCGTATAGTAAGAGGATATGAAATCAGTCTCAATCTGATCATTGCTATATTTTTTTTGCTGTTGTTGTTATTGTTCTCATTCTCAGAAACGTAGATGCAAACTCAAACTGTATATCACCTAATATCATCTGGTGTTGTGTGATACTTTCAGGACATTTCTCCTAATTATCAATCGCAGAGGGTGGACGATCTGAATCTGATTTCCACTCATCTTTGCGCATCAGAGAATTTTAGGTATAAGTTGTTAGTAATATCATTCTACAACAATTAAGTAGTAAGTAAAAAACTTCCAGTTATATGCTTGCTACTTTAGTTTCCAAATGAAAGTCGAAACAGATATTGAATAACTATATCCACTTTGTTTTTGTATATTCAGATTGGGATTTGAAGTGAACTCTGGGGAGAAAGGGGAGCATTGCCATTACATGATTGCTTCATAATTCATGAGTTAAACACAAGATACTATAGGATGCGATTTTGATTTCTAATATAAATGAGATCTTCTGAGTAGTTTACCTTCTTGAATTACTGCATCAATGGAGTGTAACAAAGATGAGGCTATCAGGGCCAAGGGGCTTGCAGAAAAGAAGATGGTGAATAATGATTTTGAAGGGGCACGAAACATTGCATTGAAGGCCAGAAACTTATATCCAGAACTAGAAAACATTTCCCAGCTAATTACAGTTTGTGAGGTTCATTGTTCATCTCTAAAAAAGATCAATGGTGCTGAAAAGGACCTATATGGAATCCTTCAAATTGAAACTGTAGCAGATGAAGCAACTATCCGTAAACAATACCGAAAAACTTGCACTTGTACTTCATCCTGATAAGAACAAATTCCCTGGTGCTGAAGCTGCTTTTAAACTTATTGGTGAAGCAAATATGATACTTTCAGATAAAGGAAAAAGGTCTCTATATGATGTTAAATGTAGACAACCCATGAAAGCTCCTGCAACAAAGCCTCAAAGGCCTCAAAATTATGGTTCATATGCTAGAAAACAGTTTTCAGGTCAAACCAACTTCAATGATGTCCCGAGTTCTCACTTCAATGGTGTGAATCATCATCAACAACCACCACCAGTTTCAAGCCTTCGGCCATCTTTCTGGACTTATTGCCCTTTTTGCAACATAAAATACGAGTACTACAGAGAGTTTGTGAACAGACCTTTGAGGTGTCAGCATTGCTCAAAGCTCTTCATTGCCTATGACATAAGTGCAGCAGGGGGAGTTCCTGGAGCCCGTTTTGTGAATGAGGAGAATCAAAGTGCAAATCTTGGATCCAACAGAGCTCAACCACAACCACCCTTTTCTCACACGGAAGAGGTGAAGAGACGTGAAAAAGTCAAAGTCAATATACAAAAAGATGGGCAGTCTAGTCATTTTACACATCAGACTTCAAATACAAAAACTGAAGCTACTGGAGTTGGTGGTAGTTCTAAAACTGTACCGAAGGGCATGAAAACAGAACCCTCTAAAGACACAAAGAAGAAGAGAGGAAGAAAGATTGGAGCAGAATCTGGTGAAAGTAGTTCTGATGCAGAAGGAGGAAATGGGTTTGGTCCAGCTGGCAATAATGTCAATCACAGAAAAATCTTCACGCCAAAAACCACAAGTTTCTTACAATGAAGATGCTGCATTCGATGAGTCGAGCCCTCAAAAAAGATCACGGAAATCATCAGATGATGTTGAAGATGTGAAAACCAAAAAGGAAAAGGAAAAAGTGTCTGGTAATGCTGATGTGGACAAGGAAGGTGATGGAAGCATGCCAAATGGCAACCATGTGAATCTTGATGATGATGATGATGATGATGATGATGATGATAGTAAGTCTGATTCAGAACCAGAGTTTGTAAACTGCCCGGATTTAGAATTCAGTAATTTTGACAAAGATAAAGAAGAAGATCGATTTGCAGTTGACCAAATCTGGGCATGTTATGATTCTATCGATGGGATGCCAAGATTCTATGCAAAAATTAGGAAAGTTTTCAAAACCCAATTTAAGTTGAAGATCACATGGTTAGAGGCTGACCCAGATGATGAATCTGAAATAAAATGGGCAGAAGAAGGGTTACCCGTTGGATGTGGGAAATTTATGGGTGGTGAATCAGAGGAAACAAAAGATCGTCTCATGTTCTCTCATCAGATAGTTTATAAAAAACGGTTTGAAGAGAATTCTGTTGTTATTTATACCCCAAAAAGGTGAATATGGGGTTATTCAAGGACGGGGACTCAAATGGGGTTCAGACCCAGAAAACCATACTAAATCAAATGTGATATTGTGGAAATTCTTGATGTGCATGTTAATGGCAGTGGTATCTGTTGCTTTATTGGTCAAAGTCAAAGGGTTTGTAAGTCTGTTTAAAAAAAAAGCTTGGGGAGGACTAAATACAGAAA